CGATGATCGAACTAGAGAATAACCAACGAGCGTATAGTTCGGGCACACGTGGTAATCGCTTTGTCGTGCACCATAAAGATGCCTTGAATGGTTTAAGGAACAGTTCGAGGCAACAATTATGAGGAGTTCTACTTCTGGTACGTAGCTCTAATAGCTTGGGTGTTGAGATCGCCTTAGCAAAGATAAAGATAGCACATCATACTTGGAAGAAGAAAGGGAGAACTTTCATTGTCGCTTCAAAAAAAAAAGAGAGAAGAAAAATAACAATGCGGTAACCGAGCTAAACAGCTCGGGAAAGTTTGACTATCACAGGGCACAACCGCCCAACCAAAGACTTGTGAAAGACCGGGTTTACGGCACTCGGAAGCCACCAGAAGTCTAGAGAAACACCGCCTTAGGGATCCGCCTCCTCATCCTCTGGGGAGTCAGGCTCCTCTTCCTCCGCTTGGTCCACCGTCTCAGGAGACAAACCCTTCATAGTAATGCCGTCGAGGTTGAGTCCGGAGAACTTCTTCCGAACCAGCCACCAGCAAAGCTTAAACCCAGAGCGGTACGAACCCAAACCATACTCCGCCTGGAGGTCGTGGAATTCCTGGGAGTCTTTAAAATCCCATACCGCTTTCTCTCGCTTAGCCTCCACCATCTAATCGAAGTTTCGAGTCCGATTTAGAAGAGTGGACTCCAAGTCCCGCACCTGCTGCCTGAGGAGCTCCCTCTCTTCCGCCATCCACGACGATTTCTCCCTGTAACGTGCACTCTCTTTAGAAAGTCGGGCGGTTTGAGCTTCCTGGTCGTGGACGAGCAGCTCCTGAGACGCTCCCCTTGCCGGTGTGATGGAGCTCGCCTCGAATCCGGTCGAGCTTGCCCTGGAGCTTCTTGTTAGCAGCCCGCTGGTGGAGGGCGTCGACACGATGGATGCGCGTCTAGAGAGCCATGGCATGGATGGCGGAATTCACCTGCCGACAGAAGAGAAGATCAGAGGACAGCGGAGAGGAGCAAAACAAGAGAGGAAAAGGGAAAGAGGTCACTTACCACCATGCAGTGAGTAGAGGCGAACGCGGTGAGGTCCCCGGGCTCCATATTCCCCCACTGAGTGACCTCATCATTAGTGATTGCCTTCCAGCTCCTCCAGCGAGCCACGAGGTAATCATTCACCCCTTCCCATTTCCCCACTGGGAACCGGGGGTAAGGGTGTGGCTGGAGGGGGTTACAGGGAGCCTCCCCCTGATGAGGGAGCTCATCCCCTCCGAAGTCAACCCCACTAGTTCCTTCGGGAGGGGGTGCCGAAATCTCGGGCAGAGGGGAGGATAAAACCGGCTCGGCAGACCCTAACTCAGCACCTCTTGAGGGGGGAGTCCGGTCGGGGCGCGTCCTCTTCCTATGACGCCTCTGGCTGCTCGAGAGAAGACGGTGCGAATCGGCACTAGACATAATGGCTGCCAAGAAGAGCATCAGTGTTAGTCCAATCAGAATGAGATATGTGCATGCGAATGAGTACGACATCGTTACAGAAACCACACGACCTAAAAAGGCAACCTACCCGGGCTCAAGCCGGCCTACACGAGCTTCTCCTCAGCCAAGTAGTCTAAGCAAAGGAAGCCTACTGATGCCTAGGACAGCATCGTTTTCCAGGTTTCAGAGTCCAGTTCGGCCCCAAGGTCCTGGATGGCGCCCCTCCAAGCAGTTGGGAAGGGCCACCCCTCAGGGTTGCAAACCACAAAGTAATCCCGCTTCCAGGCGGGAATCTTATTCGGCAGCTCGTACAAGAGCTTATAGCTGGGACGGGGAGAGAGGTAGTAAAAGCGCCTCTCCGGAGGAACCCCAGGAGCAGCATTTTTTATACAAAGGATAGAGGCAAAAATATCAAGGTCCAAAGGAAGACAGTACTCGTAACACAAAGATATAGTCCCAACCATATTTCGAATGGCGTTGGGATGAAGCTGGTCAATGGTGACGTTAAAGTGATTTAGCACCTCCACTATCAAGGGGTGCAGGGGGAGACACAAGCCAGCCTCGAGCTGTTCCTGGAAGATTACTATGTCATTGGGACCATGCTCCCAAGGGAAGTTGCTAGTAGGGAGGCTATAGACCAGGTCCCCAGGGAGGCGAAAGTAGCGGATTAGAGACCTGAGTCTCTCCGCTGTCATGGAGGAAGGGCCAAAAGTGTCAGGCTCCCTCCCCCTAGAAGTAGATGCTACATCACCGGAGGCCTCCCGAGCCTCTGGGATCTGCTCCCAGGCTCCCCCCGAGCTCGAGGGAGCAACATCGTCCTGACTATCGCCCCGGTGGTAGGTGTGGTATTGGTACCCAAATATGGCTGACAGCGATTGGGACTCACCAGAAGAGACGGAACGAAGCAAACTGAGGAATTCGGGTAGACTAGATGAAGTGCGCGACCTCAGAATCCAAAGACAGCAAGATGGCATGGGAGAAAATGAGGCTTGGGAGGCCCCCCTATTTATAGCCTCCACCCTCACAATTTGACGGCCCGGATCAAAGTAGATCCAACGGCCCGCAGGCGCCCTGACCGCACGCCTTCTAAAAACCGAAGGTGATTAGCGGTACGTCTTCCGTAATTAAGGTAATCGCGGCCGCACGACATTCAGAGGTAAAAGCCACCTTAGCACGTTTTCGGAATCCGAAAAGTCAGGAAAGTCAGAAAATCTCTTGATTCCCGCAAATGCATTAATGTGGGCAGTCAATCGAGTTTGAATTTCAGTCAAATCAGTCCATCGTGCTTCACAAGCTCCCTGCGCTAAGGCAGTGCTCTTAGCCCAAGGAGTGGGGGGCAATTGATGGAGGGTGATTTGACCCCACCTATGAAACGGTGACACATGGACACTGAATCAGCACGAGTGACAACTCAGCGTTGTAACCTGGTACAACCAAGTGACGGGCCTGCAAAGCAGCTCGCTACGTTGTAGCTCGCAAGAGGATTTCGCCGTGACGTGAACCCTAGGCTCCCCGAGCTACCTTTGAAGAGATACTCTGAGGCAACTTTAGCTCGCGAGCTAAAGCTATTAGTTCGTCCGAACTCCCAAGCAGACAAGTCATTCCGAGGACCAATTCCGCTAAGGGTAATTCTGGAGTGTTCCAAGCTCGCTACAATAGCTCGCGAATGAGCCGCACAAGCGCTCTCTAGGAAGCTTCTGATTGACAGACTGTACCGGTCAGACTGCGCCATATCCCTTACTGACGGCGCAGTCCCAGTCCTTTCGATAGTCTGCGTCCACGTCTCTCAGCAGACAAAGGCGTGCCTGCCACTTTGGAAACGTGTCACTCACCCGGGCGAGACGTACGCCACAACAGCCACCTGCGCAGCCCTGGCAGGTAACGACTGTGGCAAGAGCCCAGTGGCGGTTATGCCCGACCTGATGTGAGTGTCCCTATAAAAGCCCTCAGGGCAGAAGAGAAACTTCTTCTTGAGACCTCTAATCTCTCAAGTATAGTGAGAACGCGCTATCTGCACTCTTAGCNTTGTAGCTCGCGAAAGGAGTTCGCCGCGACGTGAACCCCGGGCTCCCCGAGCTACCTTTGAAGAGATACTCCGAGGCAATTGTAGCTCGCGAGCTAAAGTCATTAGCTCGTTCGAGCTCCCAAGAGGACAAGCCATCCCCATGGCCAATTCTACTAAGGGTAACCCTGGAGTGTTCCAAGTTCGCTACAGAATCGCGAATGAACCGCACGAACACACCCCAGGAAGTTTCTGACTGACAGACCGTACTGGTCAGACTGCGCCATATCCCTTACTAAAGGTGCAATCCCAGTCCTTTCGGCAGTCTGCGTCCACGTCTCACTGCAGGCAAGGGCGTGCCTGTCACTCCAGAGACGTGTCATTCACCCGGGTGAGATGTACGCCACAACGGCCACCTGCACAGCCCTGGCAAGTAACGGCTGTGGCAGGAGCCCAGTGGCGGTTATACCCGACCTGACGTAAATGTCCCTATAAAAGCCCTCAGGGCAGAAGAGAAACTTCTTCTTGAGACCTCTAATCTCTCAAGTATAGTGAGAACGCGCTATCTGCACTCTTAGCCTTCATCTCCTTCTTGCTTCTCCTCCATAGTACTAATTTAAGTATCAGAGTGTCCCCACTGGGTAAACTCCCCGGGGATTCTTCTTCTTCCTCATCTCAGGTACCTTCCAGGAGCCACGTGAGTGTCAGATAGGAGTGACCGGATCGCGCTACATCACATAGCAAACTCTTCTATTTTATACTAAAACAAAAAAATTAAGTTTTAATTTCTAGGTGTGCTATTTGTGCATGTGCTTTCTAATTGCGCAGGTTTAGCCTAGTAGAGGCAAATAATGGTCCAAAGTCCTCAAACCATATTAAAAACCTCACTAAACTGTAATAAAAGGGTTTCGTCATACTATTACGGTTTGGTTTGGTTTGAAAATTTTTGTTACGATTCATTAGTCTCACATCGGTAGTATGGGATGCCGTTGTGGGGTGTATATGTGTCTGGGTTCCCTCCCTCTAATAGATGGTATCGGAGCCTATACTATGTCTCCTAGTTGCAATCATGTGGCACAGGTGGTGACATCGATATTATAGTATTTGGCCGGGACTAGGGGGGCTAATGTAAAACCAGCCTGCATGAGCGCCAGGACTGCAGAGCTGGTGGAATGTTATGATTCATTTGTCCCACATCGGTAGTATGAGATGCCGTTATAGGGTGAATTCTGCTAAGGCACATAACAATTTCTCAAACCGAAATTTACTGATTTGGTCCGACATCTTCTCCAATTGGCACCATTGGACCATAAGCACTCCTACTCATCATTGACGTAATTTTAAATCTCATTGAAAAAGAAGATCAAGAAAATAAAATCAGATTCAAAACAAGTACCAAGTAACCCAATTTAGCCAAGAGGACCCAAGACTTTAATACGACCATGTTTAATTGCAGAAGATTGTTGTCAGTCCTTGTACATAAAGTTCATTTGATCTTTTATTGGTAGATTGCTCTGTTTTTATTTAACCTCTGCTTTCTTACCAGGCCTTTCGACGGGACTCTCCTTTGGCTGTGGATTTGTCGACTGCAATTCTGAGACTATCAGAGAATGGGGATCTTCAGAGGATCTATGACAAGTGGCTAAAAAGAAGCATTTGCAGTTTGGTTGTTACAGAGTTTGAAGCCAACCGACTCCACCTCAAGAGCTTCAGGGGCCTTTTTATCATGTGTGGCCTGGCGTTCTTTCTTGCACTCGTTATTTACTGCTTGTTGATTATAAGAAAGTTTATTCGTTACCACCCTGAGGAATCTGATTCCACAGGCCAAGGTGGCTCTAGGTATAGGCTTCTTTTTAAATTCATATCCTTTCTTAATAAGAAGGAAGACCGTTCAGAGACGAGGCCTAAGAGAAGACAATCAGATGAGACCTCAACTGATGACGATGACAACGAAGATGAGTTTGGGAGAAATCCCAAGAGAACAAAAAGACAAATTTCTCCATATATATAGGCAATTAACTTGCTTTGATATGTTCGAATTGTGTATGAGTGATTAATCCTACTACTGGTATTGGAGATCACTGGAAAGAGAAAAAGTATATCTGAACGGAAGCCATTAAATTTCTTCTTTCCGCACAAAATGTCTCTCCTACTTGTAAAGTTATAATACATGTATATTTTATGGTGTATCCATGCCTAGTCATTGTTTTTGAACTATCATTAATCCAGATGGTTGGACCGTTGATTTGGAAACCATCCACTTGTTTTTAAGCAACAGTTTTGGCCATTTTTTTTTATTATTTTTTTTAAATTGCAACGGATCATCCAATATGGTTGAACCATTGTCTAAGAACCGGTGGCCAAAGCCATTCTGGTTATGAATCGTTTTTTAAAACATTATGCCTAATCCCTGCAAGTCTGCAACTGTAATGCCACATATGCACCATGGTTTTTAAAATCGACCCGGTGACCAAACCGGTCAGGGGTCCGGTTACTGGGTCGAACGGTTAAAACTGTTCGAACGATTAACTGCCCGGTTCAGCGGTTCGCTGACCAAAATCAACAGTTTTGGGGGGAAATCCGGTTTTTGGGGAAAATGGAACCGGTCAGGTAACGGGTTCCCAGTTTTTCCGGTCCAACTGTTCAGTCTGGTCTGGTCCGGTTTTGAAAACCATGATATGTACAAAGACCTAAGTGATGAAAAACAGATTTTAGGGTCCGTTTGGTTCTCTGTTGGAATCGGAATTGGAATTGAAATTTTCCGGAATCGAAATCGAAATGGTCCATTCCCATAATCTGTTTGGATCAAACAGAGCTATGGGAATTAAAATCAACAGGAATGGAATTTCATTCCCAAAAGAGGGGCAAAGAATGACCATTCCCTCAAATAGGGAAATGTCATTCCAGCAGGAATGGGAATGAGATTCCAATTCTGCCCAACCAAATAATTGAAATCAAAATAGTCCATTCCAATTTTAAAGCCCTATTCCCACGAACCAAACGAGGCCTTACTTTTTTTTTGGTATTCAGTGCTATGTACCATTACAAACCTTCCCTTAACCCCTTTTTCTCCTAAAGTGTTGATTGCTGGATTTATATATGTTATCTTTTCATTGACTTTAATATATTGTAATAATTAGACAGTAGGAGTATGAAATTCATCTTTATTAATTTGTCTCTTTATTCTTGTATGTGTGTATGATTCTTATGCTATGTAACATTCTTTATTTAGATCTATATAAAATATTTGTAATTGTATTGATTAGGCCAAGGGCCCAAGGGTAGGGAGAAACCACAACCAAATTGACAATAATTTAATTATTGGTATCAAACATACCTAGAATTGAAGCTTTGATGGCTCATCATAAATAACAATAGCAGCAAAGAAAAATATGACAAACAATTGATCTCAAGTTGAAATTATTTTTAATCAATACAAATGTCCACTGTTTCTATTTAGGGTAAGGCCTTGTTCGATGCCTCTTAATGTTGAGTGCTGAAAAACATTCGTGCATTTTCAGAGCCATAAGAGCGTTCTGTTTCATTTCTCAGCCTTAAATGTCATATCAACCTTGTTTTCCACTAATTTTACTTTTTTTTTTCAAAACATACCCCCAAAAGCTTCTTCCTTTTACATATATTACAATTTGGAAAACCTATATAATAATAAATACTTATTAATATTTGTGTAGATATTATTTATTATTATTATAGTAAAATAATTATTATTATTTAATTATTTTATTATCTCATAATTTTACTTTATTATCCATTAAATTATTTAACGATGTATTGTTTTAAATAATTAAAAAGTAATTAATTAATAAATGAAAATTAATAAATAATAAATACTTATTTAATTATTCAAAACTAATTAATTAATTAATTAAAAATTAATTCATTAATAAATAATTATTTTAATTTAAAAGTAATTAATTAATTAAATATTATTGTTAATTGTTATTTAATTAATCATTAATTAATTTATATGATTAATTAATGCTTAATATCTTAAAATAATTAGGTAATTAATTATAAAAATAATTATTAATAGTAATAATAAAAATTAATTAATATTTGTGTAGATATTTAGTTTAAATATTAATTAATTAATTAATAACTACTCAATTTTAAAAATATTTAATTATTTATTATTTTATCAATTCCATTATTTATATTTTTATATTCATTTTATTAATTGTTAATTAGTTTTTTAAATAATTAAACAGGCTTTTTGTTATCCAAGGTTAAAATGGTCAATTGTCATTTTTTAGAACACCACATTCAAATTTTAGAATAACATTCTCTACATTCAGACTTCAGAACAACATTCTCTACATTCAAATTTCAGAACAACATTCTTTACATTCAGACTTCAGAACAACATTCTCTACATTCAAATTTCAGAGCCAAGAAAAGTTCACAAACTCCAATACACCTCTAAAAGTAATTATTACAATTTCAAAGGCATTTAGAGTTCAGAATTCAATGCAACCTCCACTAAAGTTTTATAATTGCAATCACCTCCCTTGAACTTTCTATTACAGTTGCAAGTAGAATCATTTTGTTAAAATCCTCTACGAAGAACTAAGAAAATGCCCACAATACCCATGAAGTTACTATTGAAGCTGTTTTCTATGGAAAAAGATAATACAAACTTTATGAACAAAAAAAAAGAGAATTTGCACTTTGAAGTTACAGCTTTATCTTTGAGTAATGAATATGAAGGGCAAGTTTGAAAAATAAACCACTTTCAGAAAAGAGACTAGAAGGCCAGGTTTGGAGTAGTGATTCATACGAATAGAAAATTTAGAAAATAAACCTTATTTTGAAAAGTAATGTATATGAGTATTTTAGACATTTTTATGCCACTTTTTAAAAGATTCTAATAAAAGGGGTCTACTTGTAACTATGTCAAGCAATTTAAGGGAGATGATTGCAGTTACAAAACTTCAGGATTGTCAGAAAATTCAGGGAGGTTTTATCAATTTACCCTTCTATAATATTTATGATATGTTCAAATGAGGTTATCTGTTCCATCTGATGTGCATCTCATCCTCTTATTATTGGAGATGGGATCTGATTCTCACACTTGGGCGCCTCACATGCACATCTACCGTGCATTGGGAACATTTCCTATGAATAATAACTTAAAAGTACGGGAGATGTTCCCAATGCATGGTAGGATGTGAGTGTGAGGCACCCTCTGTGAGGAGCAGATCCGGTCTCTTAATTGTTCTTATAGTTTTGTCTGCATTCAATGTGACTTATCATTTATCTTTTGAAAGCGAAATTGAAGGTTGGACCACTGGACTAATCCATTGGTGTGTTTAGATTCTCAAACTGGTTCTACGAGCTTTACAGTCTTCTAAATCTATTCTTCCTTGGGAATGTTTAGTGTGCTTATGAAAGTCAATACTTTAAGTCTAGATTGTAGGCCAGTATTTTTCTTTTCTTTTTTGTTATATTAAACGTGATCTTAGTGCTCAATATCATTATATAACTAAATCAACATTTAAAAAATGCAGAACTCCTGTCCTTGTTACCTTATTTACCAGAAATCCAATTCCGTCATCACAAAACCATTCTCACACTGTCCTTACAGTCCCCTTCAGCCATGCATTGAAAATATCATCTCTTCATGAATAAAAATATACAAGTACATAAATATTTCTAATGTATGGCTGTAAAAGGTTGAGGACTAAATCCAAATTCTCTATAGCAAACCTTTTGTTAATTAACTAATATAATTTATTAACTCATAAAAAAAAAACTTTTACGTATGTTTGGTTTGAAGGAAAAGTAGGGAAATGATAGGTAAGGTAAGAAAACCTTTACAAATCTTGTATAGATTTCTTTATCTTTCCCTTCCTTTCCTTACCTTTTCCTTCAAACCAAACATAACCTTAAGTCATTGAAAGTTTTGATGGTTGGTCAATCAAATTTGCTCAGCTGCATTATCTCATGTTGATGAAATAATGATAGAGAGAAAATTATGGTGGGGTGCCGGTGAGGAGAGAGGAAAACTTGCCAACATTACAAAAGAAAAGGAGAGGCAGGTCATAGGCATTTAAGTACGTAATGGAATTATGTGAAGTTCTTTTGACTTTCCTGCAGTAAAGAATCGTTCATTTGGAGTGAGAGAGAGCTTACATGATTGTTTTTAAAGACTTCACTTTTGCTACGACACTATAATAGCGCAAAGGAGTTCACTTTTGCTAATTCAAGGTGAAGCCATGCCAACAAATCAAAGGCTTTGATTTAATTGTTTCAGCGCAGAGTTACGGCACTGTCACAGCAAATGCCGGTTTGTTTTAAAAATAAAAAACAAATGTCGTGTCACTAAAATCATAAAGTTGCATTGACCAGTGCAAAATTTCTTCCCTGTTCAGTTTTGCTTTCATTTGTTGGTAGTTATGATTTGCATTCCTAGCTAATTTTTTTTGTTTCTTTTGCAATATTTGGCACGTTGGCAAACTTCATATCCCAAAAATTAATCTACAATCCTACCTACCTCAATTATTTCTCATAAAGTGGGGATTACATACATCATTTTGCATCCTACCTTATTCTTACATGTGGATAGCCCACTTCTTACTCCATTATCTTTCACATTTTTTTTTTTTGCAAGGAATAAAAAAAGATACCAATACTAAAGCTACAAGATTACATAGAGTTTTCAGATCTGCCCATCAACCGTACCATCTTCCTTCAAACTATTTACTACAGTAGCTGCATCACAATATGTTAAGAGGTTCTTAATTCCCAGGTTAATAGCATTCTTCAGGCCCATGAGGAGGGCCCACCAATCTGCTTGGGTTGCGGAAGAGTCCTAAAATCTCCTTCCTTTAGAATATATGACATTCAGATCTTTAGATACCTGCATGACCATAAGTTGGAATGTAAGATCCATCAACAAACATGATATGAGTTATTTATTGGGTAAGTGACTTACCGAAAAGCGAAGGCATAATATAATTGCATCTCAAGTCTCAATAATGCAGATAAGTACATTTACCTATATTCTTTTATTTTTTATGTAAATAAAGCAATGACCATCTTAACCATAAAAATTCCATTATTAAAATGGGTGTTTAAAGTATTGGCAACTTTTTCTTAGATGGGAAAGTTAATTTATCCACCTAGGAAATGAGTATACCTGGAAAAATAAACTTTCACTGGTTCTCACATAAACC